CAGCATCCACATGGCAGCTAACAACTGTCCGTAACTCCAGTCCCAGGGGATGTGACAGCCTCTTCTGACCTCCGCAGGCATTGCATGACATGGGTGCACTTACCCACATGCAGGCAATACATACATACAAATAAAATAATAAAATATTTTAAAAAAGATGTTTCAGGCTGCAGATATAGTTCAGTGGTAGAGTACTTGCCTAGAATATACAAGACCCTGCCTAGACTTGATCCCTCATTCCACAGAAAGAAATAAACAATTGCCCATGAAAAACTTATGATACAGCTGGACTTGGGTGGTGCTGGCAAAAGGATCGAGTCTCACAGCCAGCCTCAGCTACATAGTGAGTTTGAAACCACTGTGGGTCTCATGAGACCTAGTCTCAAAAATTCAATAGCCAACCAACTGAACAAAGAAAAAAACACAAAGGATTCAAAAGATAACAGTTCTAGAATTCTTTTTAAAAAATTTTCTGTGTATGAGTGTTATACCTGCATATATATAAATGCACCTGTATTGTATAGTGTCCACGGAGGACAGAAGATGGCTTTGGATCCCTTGAAACTGGAGTTGTTAGCTGCCATGTGGGTGGCATGTGGGATTCAAACCTCGGTCCCCTGCAAGAGTAGCCAGTGCTCTTAAACACTGAGCCATCTCTCCACCCACAGTTCTAGAATTCTTGTCCTACCTGACATTCAAAGCAGATTTTTTCAGACTTGCCAGAGTAACTGTTACCAATTCCTTCTGTATTCATATATTGGTGTGTATATGTCTCAGAATATATGTAGTTGGTTTTATTTAATAAAAATGGAATCATATACATATATATTTCTGCCACTTAAGTTTTCATATATTTTGAAGTCCTTCACATTTCTGCATGTAAACCTATTTTTCAAGGGGTCATTAGGAATTGAACCCATGACCTCATGTATGCTAATAAGGATGTGCTCTACTACTCAGCTATACCCTTTTCCTTACTTGCATGGATTTTTTTGTAGCGTGAATGTATTATAAGTTATTTCCTCATCGCCTATTTTAAGCTTTCTTCAAATTTTTGCACACAAATAGTGTGACAGAGTATACCCTTGAGTATTTATTGTCTTCCCTCTTAAGAACTTTTTTACAGTGTGTTCATATTTATAAGTATCTCTTATTTTCAGCAAAGAAAATAGCTAGTGAAGGAGTGACTGATGATCCAGATGAGTCTGTGAGTAGTAACATTTCGGACCCAGAAAGATCTCAGAAGGATGCTCAGACAGTTGCTGAAGAGGAATCTCTGACTTCATCAGGACAGGATTTGGAACAAGTTATGTTAGTAAAAGACCAAAATCTAAAGAAAAGAAGGAGGAAGAATCAAGATGAAGCTAATGAACAGGAAGCAAAGAGTCTTTTAGGGAGTGCCTGTTTTCAGTCAGGCCCTGTGGAAGCTGAAGTACACAAGAGTAAGTTCCTTACACCTTCTAGTAGCCTCCATTGTACTTGAAAGGACATGTGTAAGAATGTGTATGACAGATACTTTCCTTGTGTGTAATAGCAATTAATAATGCCTATTAATTGGTTGTGTACTCAGTAATCATATTTTTAGTTGAAGGGAAAGAAAGGTAGCTGTAGAAAAAAGTAAAGCAGAGAGAATTTTCTCCAAAATCTGCTTCTAAGATATGTGACTTCCTTTGTGTTCTCATTACAGTGATTAGTAATCACATGTTTGTAATCACATGAACCTCAGATTTTTCTGGTCTGCCTCTATGGGATAGCTCTCTGAGCCCGTAGTGGGTTAAGTTTTAAAAGAACTACAAGGATTTGCGTTTTCCCCATTTTTTTTTTCTTACTCTTGGAATGTAAACATACTGAAATTTATGTGTTGCTGGGAGGTGAAGACCAAGACTTAAGAGGAGACTTGGTCCTTCTTAAGAGTTTGTATATAGAGTACCTAAAGCAAATGAGGCTGGAGGTATTGCTCAGTAGAGAAATGTGTAAGACCTTGGGTTTACTAACCAGGAGTCGTCCCCCCACCAAAAAAAATTGGGTAGTCAAGTAAAGACAGGAGGGAAAATTAGTAGCAGGCTAGAACAACCTTTCTATAGTTCATATAGTTTACTTTTACCAATACAGAATGTAATTTGATCACATCCAACCCTCCCCGTCCAGCTCCTCCAGATCACCCTACATGTCCCCTCTCAACTTCATGTGTTTTTTTTTTTTTTTAAATCTACTGAGTCCAATTAGTGCTTTTCATATGCATATGGGGCTCATCTACTGAGGCATAGACAACCCAGTAGCCATCACCTGCTAATAATTCCTCAGTTAAAGGTAGAGCTTCTTGTGCCTCTCCCCTCTCAGTGTTGGAATGTTGACTAGTTTCATCTTGTGTAATTACAACTGCTGTGAGTTCATAAGTTTAGTGGCCCAGACATGTCCAAAAGTCCCTGATTCTTAGTAGTCTTTCCCAGTTTCTCGATCTTACAAACGTTCTGCCACCTTTTCTCCAGTGTTTCCTGAGCTGGGGTAGGCAGGTGTGCTCAGTGACATAGATGTCCATTTAGGGCAGAGCAATTATCTGAGTCACTTGTTCTCTCTGTTTTGATAATTTGTCTTTGTATTAACTGCACTAACTGAAAAAAGCTCTGATGAGGGTTGAGAGCTACACTAATCTGTGACTGTACAGATAAGTATTTAGAAGGTAGTTTGATACTGTGTCCATTTAGCAAATAATAGTAGTAAGTTCTCTCCTTGGCTTACAACATCCCTAGCCATGGGTTCCTGGTCAAGTTTTTGTACCCAGACATGAGTTCTATGCTGTGAAACTGTCCATAAACCCAATAAAAAATAAACAGTTGTTTATCCCCATACCACTCATGCCACTATTGGCCAGTGGGCTTATCTTGTCAGGCTGCTTGTTACTGTTGCTTTCAGGATTCACATCTGAGTAAGATTGTTACTGCCTCTCTTCCTCAGCAACCTGCATAGATAGCACCTTCCAGCACTGTGAAGACTAGCCAGCAGGGAAGAAAGCCAGCATGATTTTAAGAAATCAGTCCTGGTACTTGAAGTAAGGATAGGATCTCTTTTCTTACGAAACAGAATCTCATGTAGCCCAGGCTGACCTCCTATATAGACAAGGATGACCTTGAATTCCTCATCCTCCTGCCTCCACAGCCTAAATTTGAGTATTATATCACATGTTATGCTTGGCTTAAAATAGTATGATTTATAAACATTATAGCATTATACTCTTGTCAGAGTGTGGTGGCACACGCCTTTAATCCCAGGACTTGGGAGGCAGAGGCAGGCGGATCTCCATTGAGTTCGAGGCCAGCCTGGTCTACATAGCGAGTTCCAAGACAGCTAGGGCTACAAGGAGACCCTGTCTCAAAAAAAAAAAAAAAAATTATACTCTTTTGTTGTTTACTATTATATGTAAGGACTGGTGAGATGGCTCAGTGGGTAAAGACTCTTGCTGCAAAGCTGGACAACTTCAATTCTATCTTTAGGACCCACATGATGGAAGGAGAAAACCTGCTTTTGCAAGTTGTCTTCTGACTTGTACATATGCATTATGGCATACACACACACACACACACACACACACACACACACACAGACTAAATAAATGTATTGAAAAAAAATTTTGAAAAGAGAGCGATTACATGTTTAAAAACTGGATGGGGTGGTAGATGCCTAGAATCCCACCACTTGGGTGACCTCAAACTCACTATGTTCAAGGTCATCCTTGGCTACATAGTGAGTTTGAGGCTAGCCTGGGTTATATTATACCCTGTCTCAACCAAAAGAAAAAGGGAGATCCTACATACAAAGCAAAATAGCCTAATGATTCAGAAATAAGATTTTAGAAATGTCTTTGCTTTAAGTTCTAGCTCTTTTATTGTCTATTAGCAAGTCACTTAAGATGCCTGAACTCTTTATCATAGGGTTAATAGTAATACCTTTTATTATATGTATTTATCTTGTGTGTATGTATGCCAGCAAGATGGCTCAGCAGATAAAAGGCACTTACTGTGCATCATGACCACCTGGTTTGATTCCCAGAACCCCTGTAAAAGGTGGAAGGAGAGAGTCAACTCCATAGTTGTCTTCCGACCCCCAAAACACATAATGCAACATGTGTGTGCAAGTGTAAATACCCATATTCAATAATAATAAAGTTAAAAAATGTAAAAGAAAAAAAACTCCAAAAAACTTCAATGTTAAATGGATTAATGTTTTATAGAAAAGACATATAAAAATTCCTTATGCTTTAAAAGAATGGATGTCTTTGATGTTGGTTTTGGAATAACATACATTTTCTGTTTCTAGGTAAATGTCCTCCTGAGGCAAATGAAGGTGAATGCAATAAGGAACAGATACTTTGCTTCACACAGAATGTAGAGGACATTTTGGGTTTAGCCGCCAGTGAAAAGGTGGAGATGAGAACTGACCCCGTCCCTGCCACATGGTATTTTCTGCCTCTTTCCTGGCTTTATCTGCATCTGCATCTTCTATTGATTCCTGAGAGCGGAGTATTGAAGTCTCCAACTGTCATTGTGGATTTGTACTTCTCCTTTTTCTGTTTTCTTCAGTTGTTTATTTTCAAGTTCTGTTGTTAGGTGCATACATAAGTAGGTAACTAGAATTGTTGCATCTTCTTGGTTAATATTGTTTAAATTGTACACTGTCCTCAAGGTTGGTATACTAGTGCACACCTACAGTTCTAACACTCAGGAGGCTGAGGCAGGAAGAGTATAATTTTAAGGCTAACTTGGACTATATAGCAGATTCCAGGCCTGCTTGGGCTACAGGAGTCCCTGCTTCAAAGTATACAAACAGACAGACAAACAGATCCTCTTGTTTTAGCCTCCTACAGACTGGGATTACAGGAATGCACTGCCATACCCTGCTTCCTCTTTATTTATTTATTTATTTATTTATTTATTTTTATTTTTATTTTTTTCCTGTTGTTCAC